AAAAGGTAATTGAAGAACTAAAGAAAGGAAAGATTAAGTAAATGAGGCAACATAAGAACATTAGAAGATATGTTTTTATCAATGTGTACAATGAAAAATTCGAGGACGAATTTTCTTAAAAGGAGTAGAGATTTGTAACATCTCAAACTATGGGTTAGTGACTAAATTGTAAAACTTCAGAATGTGGTAATTAAAGTAGGATATTTAAATAGTTCAATGAGTTATTCAGAAATATTTCCTGAAGGTTTTGGTAATTATTAAAGGAATCAAAGGGTAAAATTGGTCATTTAGCATGAAAGATATTTTTTCCCTCTTATAAGATAAGGGAATCACGTGGGGAAAGGAGAGATTTCTCCAGAGTTTTCTTCTTACTTCTCCCAGCCGTGGACTCCAACTTGCAAAGGTAAGATTTCTTAATAGTTGATTATTAGCTTAAATTTAAGTTGAGTTTCGATCATTAGATGATAACTAAGCTTAAGGAAAGCTTAAGTTATCTTAAAATCAAAAGATGATGGAATTAGGAGAGATTAAAGATTATGAGTTCTTGAATGAAATCATGATATAGAGTTGATAATTAGAATTGGAAGTTGAATTTGACTTTTCATCAATCTAAATAAGGAATATGAAGTGTTAGAATGAGATTTGGAACATGTTGATATTTGCGTATGATTCTTGAATGCCATATAAAAGATATGATTGGAGGTTAAAGAAGTGATTATTGAGTATAAATAAGTGTAAATAAGTGTATGAAAGTTAGGAATATTAAAGAAGGTGAACTATGAAGTGTTGAGAGGAAAATGAAGGGATTTTCGTGTTCAAAATGACATTTATGGGTTGTGTGCATAAGTACATCTTCAATGGGTACTGATGCACTCTCAAATAAATAAACATCAAATGCAATTAGTGCATAGATGCATAAGGAGTGCATCGATGCACCCCCTTAAGAAGAAAACATCGAATGTAAATGGTGTACCGATGCACAGGTAGTGCATCGATACACATGTTAAGGAATGCATCGAT